TTGTTTTTTTTTTTTTTTTTTTTTTTTTTTTTTTGTACGTGTGAGAGGTGGCAAGGAAGGAAGCAGAGCCAAAGGGACAAAGGACAAGACACAGCAGCGACTCATGGACACCAAGGCCATGGGTGATGGCTACCCTCAATGTTGGCTTGTCTTTGTTACACTACTGACCTCACCTGTCCCCTCTCTAAAGTTCCATTCATCCTCCATTGACAGCCTTTGGCTGGCCGAGCACTGGCGCTGGCTTTGGTGGGTATGGGGCCCAACCGTGGGGACAGCTAGGCAGAGCACCACCAGCTTGACTTGATGGCAAGGCATGCCCACTTTGCTTTTCAGCTAAAGGGACAGAGAAGGAAAATAGAAAAGGACATTTGTTTTCTCAAAAATAAACATGTACACACCTGGCTCATTAATTTCTTATTAAAATTCTGTGTTGAGCTCAAGCAGGGAAGAAGGGAGGATTGCCAGGGATGGGGCAAAGGAGCAGGGAGGGCAATCGGAGCCATGTGTTGGCATTTGCTGCAGGTGGAAGGGTGGAAGGGGGGCAGAGAACTTGGAGGTTAAGAATGGCAGAGGTGGAAAGCAGACTCAGGAGAAATGGACTTCCTGGGGCTAAGGCATGCTGCGTGTCCTGCAATCAGAGGACTCTGAGTCCCAACTGCCTTACAGAATTGCTTTTGGGCTACCGAAGGGAATCAAACCCATGGCCTTGCACAGGGCAGACAAACACTGTGCCACTGGGATATGACCTGGATTTCTCTTTCACCTTTTGAGACAGTTGTCCAGGCTGGCCTTGAACTTGATCTGTAGCCCAAACAGGTCTTGGGTTTGGGTTCCTCCAGTGTCAGTTCTCTGAGAAGCTGGGCTCATAACTCTGGATACAAAATGCCTTGAGGTGGGGACAAGATGGGGAATCTTTGGTCTCATTGTGGCTGGGCTGGGAGGACCAGCAGTGAGTGAGACTCAGCCCTAAAGTTTTATCAGATGTGGTGTGTGATCAGGGGTGCTAGGGAAGGCTAAATAGGACTGTCAGGATGGCTGGCCACTGTGGGCTAGCTTGGGACTTGCAGAATATCTTGGGAAGTCAGGGTACCCTGCCCTCTCTTAGGACTGGAGGGGGAGAGGAAGGGGGAGTAGGGGAGCAGGAGGGAAATGGGAGGAGGTGGAAATTTTGAATGGTATTATTTATACAGCAATAAAAAAATCTAAAAAAAAAAAAAAAACTGCCCAAGTGCTTTTGTCCAAACCAAGAATCCCCTTTAGGCTTCATGCCTGGTGTAATTTTCAGCATTATCTTGCTATTTGAGTTCCAGGCCTTTTCCTGCATGTCTGCTCCCTCATCCGTGCCTACTAGAAGGCTGGGTTTGGTTGTCCTCGGGTCTCCTCTTTCAGTATTTGAAGCTGACAGGGCCAGACCTTGCCCAGATGGGTGGGCTATATCCTGATGGATAGAGGCTGGGCCTGTAGCCCCGCTCCCCAAACTCATGGGTGTTTTGCAGGGCCCAGTTCCAGTCCTGGCCTTCAACAGAGCCTCCTATAGCTGGAACCCCGCACCCAGCCATTCTCAGGATCCATTCCAGCAAAGCTCCTTCTCTGCCACCAAGTTTAGAACACACCCCCACCTACTGGCCTCACACGTTAACAGAGCTGAGCTCCACAACCACCACAGGCCTTCTGGCCTGGCCTGCTGCTTGCCCAATCCTCCAGAAAGACATAATAGGGGGGTAGGAGACACAACCTCCAGGAGAAAGTCGTGGGGTGTGTCAGACGGCCTGTAGCTTCCTAAGAACACGGCCCAGTGTGCCACTTGGGGTGTACAGCCTGAAGGAGTCACTAGTATGGTCTGGGCCTGCTCCCCCTTCTTCCTCTCCAAGAGACCCACCTGTCTCTTTCCCTGCCCTCTTCAGTCCTTATCCCAGGGAGCCAGCTTCCCCTCATCCCTTTCTTCTGACCCATTGCTGTGTGTGTGCACTGGGGATGGGACTGACGGGAGAGTGTGTACAAGGCATCAGGCTGGGCTAGGGGACTTGATGCATGTGGATGTCAGCTCAAAAGGTAGCCAGCCGGAAGTGGCAGGAGAACATTCAGGAGCCTTGGGGAGCTGGGGGTGGCCTGAGAGAGTCCCTGCTGGAGGTGCTACTGGATCTGGGCTTTAAAGGCTGGAGTAGGGGTTTCTGGAGGCAAGGTGCTGACTATGGAAGACTTGGGAAGTGAGACAGGGTATCTAAGGCACCAGGAAGGACAGAGGTCAGGAGCACCGTGGGGGAAGATGCACACTGGAACAAGATCAGGAAGGACCCTGATACCAGGGCAAAGAATGGTTCTTTGGTCCCATAGGCACTGGGGGAAAATAAAGGTTACTGTGTAAGAGAACAGACCAAGTCAGCTCCCCAACAGGCTCAGTCACCACCCTGACCCCCAGGCTTCTGTTGAAACTGAAAATTAAGGATCATTTCCCAAAAGACAAATACTAGAAAACAACCTTCTTAGCTTTTTTCAGAGGTAGTCTCAAGACTGGAAATGCCAAGAGATAGCCGAACACCCCACTCTGAACACCCTGCAGGGCTCAGCTGGGCCCACAACAAATGTGGTGCTCTGTCCACACAAGGGCTCTGCCCAACAGTCTGGTGGAACCTGAGAAGGAACTTGTGGGCCAGAGACCACATGTTGTGGCTGGGAGGAGGGGGACCTGACACTAGAGAGGCAGTCCAAGGTCACCCTGCCCAATGGTGTCATAGTGAGACAGAAGCCCAGCCTGCCTGACTTCCAGTCCGACTGTGTGATCAGAACCCTGTGGCCTCTGTCGCCCGCCAGGCATTGTATACTGCAGCAGCACCCCCACGTCCCCCATCTTAGAATAGTCTAGAAAACCTATTGAAAGTTGGCCTAAGTGACAGTAAGTCCATGTACCTTCCTCAAACCGAGAGGAGGTGGCAGGAGGCTCCTAGGCAGTCCTGCAGGATGAAGGCCTGGGGCTCAGACTCTCTTAATTTTCACATGACATCATTTCTTTCATTTTGTTCTTGCTTACTGGGGGTACGTCGGAGTTTTAAAAGTAAAACTGAGGTATGGGTTGACAAAGCGACATTCAAGCTTAGAGAAGGACTTAGAAAGGAGCCAGAAGTGGGAACAATAGGGCGCTGGTCTTCCAAGTCAGTCCTTAGTCCTAGCCACGCAAGTACTGTGCTAGCATTGTGTGTGGACAGGTTAAGGACAGCAGTACCTGTGAGCTGGGGGACACCCTGGGCCCAGAGACAGCCACACCATGAAGCCCTAGCTAAGGCTCACAGCAGGCAGGACACTCCAGAAGGCCTGCCTAGGGCAGGGGCTTAGGAATCAGACCACTCTGACAGGCCGGGAAGGGAAACAGATTTCTACAGCCAGGCCAGAGAACATGCAGGGGGGTAGCAAGATCTATGGATAGCAACTGAGCTGCGCAGGGGCCAACGTTGAGCTGGTAATGGAACTCAAGCACCGGGAAGAGCCACTCCTAGACAGAGGCCTGCTAGCTCCTGGTCACGCAACTGTCTTAACCTTACCCACAGTCAATCTCTCCAAGGGATGAAGATTCTTCTCTGGATGCACCCCTAAGTGCCCTCCGTACCCTATTCCAGCTAGCCATTGCCTGCACATTTCTGGGGAAACAGGGGACTAGCAATTCCCACTGAATCAAAGGCAAAAGAGCTCACCCCACAGCTGGAAGAACCCAGCCACCCAAAGGGGGGGGGGAGGTTAGCTGGTTCCCTTCTGCCTCCCAGTCTTGGGATCCTACAATTCCTAGAAGTCATTCTTTCTTATTCTTTCAGCCTTGAAAACGAACCCCAGCTGGGGTGAGCAACGCCCCTGGTTAAAGACCTTAGGTGGGTTCACAGCAGGCTCAACCAGGCTCCTAGGGACTTCACAGATTCGGGCAAAAGCTGACCACCACACGTGGAGGGTTCTAAAACCTCTAGATGGTCTGCTCCACAAAACCCCTCTCCTATTCTGTCCTTGGCTCACCCCTCGAAGTGGGACATCAGATTCCCTCACCCCTAGTCGGCCCTTTGTTGGTTAGAGATATGTCCCAGGTCAGCTGCGTCCACGTTGGGCGCAGCAGAGAGCTATACTCTCACGGGCTTCTACAGCTCTCTCCCTCCCGCCTAGGTCAGCGCCCCTCGCCTCTTGGAGCATCTCCAGCTTGCGGAAGCTGCCACAGCATCCTCCTGGCTCAAAAATCTGAGTTCCCACTCTGGGTGGGGAAGGCTGTCCTGAGATTGCCCCCCCCCCCCCGCCCCATCTCCAACCTGTATCCTCGCTGTCTCACTGCATGGGCACACTACCCCAGACCCCTCCCTCCGTCACCTCTTTCCCGCGGAGCCCGGAGCCCCGGGCGAGCCTGGGGAGCAGACGCAACAGATTGCAGAACGCGGGAGCGCGGCCCCGTTTTCTCCGCGCGCCACCAGCCTCCCGGCCCGTGCCCGCTGCCCAGACCCCCGCCCGCCTTGCTCCGCGAGCCGGCCGGCCATTGAGATGCAGCTCACAAGCCTCCCGGGCCCCTACCGTGCGCGTCCCTGCCCGAGGCCCGCTGCAGGAAGCCAGGCAGCGGGCCGCACGACTCGGAACCCGCTTGCGCGCCGGGGTCGGGAAGCCGGGATCCCGTGGGTCCCAGTACTTCCCAGCCTCGCGGGCTGCACGGGGCAACGCGGCCGGGTGTCAGGGACCCAATCTAGTTCATCTCTAGCATCCCTCTAGATCTTCGTGGGCAGACACGCCCCCAGGGTCTTAGGTTGGATCCTGCATTTTAACTCGGAGACCACAGGAAAGATCCCCTTTTCCAGTCTCCCCTGGACCGACCTAGGTCCCCTCAGCATGCTCTCGAGGCAGGCGGGGACGCCGTGCTGGTAGCGCCAGCGGAGAGTCCAGGGGAGCAATAGGATGAGGGTGCTCCTTCCTCCGATTCTCCCTCCGCCCCCTCCAGGGGCGCCCGCCGCATCTTCACCCCGAGTCTGCGCCGCGACACTTACCGTGGGCGAGCAGCGCGGAGAGGCAGAGCAGGGCGGCGCCGTGGCGGCCCAACATTCCTGGGGCCATGGCAGAGGCGGGGGCGGAAGGGGTCCTAGGGGGCAGCAGTCCACGGCGACTTGGTCTCAAGCTAGGATCGGTCGCCTCCCACTCACTGTGGAGCCCAACTGTCTCTGTTGAGGTTTCAAGGGCCAGAGAGCGCAATTTGGGTACACTCTGAGGGGAGGGGGCGTCCCAGGCACCACCGGCTACACCCTCGGAGCCAGCGGGGGCGCAGCTCCGGGCCGGAGGAGTCTCCACCTCCCAGGGCTGGTGCCCCCTGCAGGATCTGAGAAGCGAGGGGGGAGCCGCACGTGCGGTCCCGGGGTCCTGTGGCCACCCACCTCTCGGAGGTTGTCGAGAGCTGCGTGCCAAAGCCCTTGGCCTCTCCGCGCCTTTCCTATCCGTACTCGCTTCAAGGTGCAGATCCCCAACGCGAGCCCGGATCGCTTTGGTTTCGGTGGTAACCCCAAACACACAGCGCGGCTTTCTTCTTCCTCCAAGCGCCCTGCAGCAGCCCGGAAAATCCCAGGTCGGGAGCCAACGAATGATTTCTTTTGCAAAGAAGGAGAAAATCCAGGCAACTTTAATCCAAACGGGGAAGGAAAAGTTTCCTTGCAGGGATGAGACAGGCGACGCAGGTCGCCACCACCCTAGGCGACGCCCAGATGGAACGCCTGAGGTGGGTGACCAGATGTTTGTCCCTTCGCAGTGTTCGGTCTTGGACTCCAGCGTGCTCTCTCCAGTCTCGACTCAAGTCTGCGCTAGCACAGGCCGACTCGGCGCCGCCTGGCCGGTCTGGGGCTTGATGGCTGGAGCAAGGGTGGAGCTCTAGGCACCCGCTGCCCCATGGAGATGGATGGGGCTTGGAGTAGCGAGGGAGCGGGAAAGCCAGCTAAGGCGCCCTGGCTCGAGCCATTTCTTCCAGGAGCGTCTCCTCCAGTATCCAGCCCGTGAGCGTCGTAGAATGGGAAAGCGGGTAGTCAGCCCACGGCAGCACTGGGCTACCACCCTCTCTCTTCTCGGGTGGGGTGTCGCTGTCTCAGTAGAGGTGCCCTGCCCCGCCAAGCATCGCTCCTCGCCTTCCCTGGGGGAACCTGCACAAACCTTGAACTTTTCCTGGGTTCAGAGTCTCCGACGCCTTGTCCTCCCCATCACCCCCGCCTTTCCCCTAGACACCCCCTTGCCCGTTGCCTTGGTGCGGCAGGGAATAAGCTGTAGCTCTTTCGGAGTCAGTTTGCGCGAGCGGATCGCCGCTCCAGTCCCGGCTGCGGATGGAGAGAAGCGGGAGTGCGGCCAAGGGGCTAAGGCATCCGCACCTGCGCAGCCCCTGGCCGAGGAAGCAGCTGGTGCTTAGGAGGCCCAGCGAAGAGAATGATGCCGGCAGGGGGGCCAGCTCTCCTTGGACTGGGGGGGGGGAGAAGAATGAGGAGCGGGGGGGCGGGGAAGAGGCGGGGGGGGGGAGCCACAGTTGCTCGAAGCAGTCGCCGCCGCCTCCACGGCGCTCCTCGGTAAATGATTCCAGAAAGAGAGACACACACACTGATGTTCGCCACCCTCTTCCTCGGTCCGGCATCCAGCGCCCACCAGGACCGTAGCGGGCGGGCGCCCAGCTTGGCGCGCTCGCTCCCTTCTCCCTCCCCCTCCCAGATTCCCCGTGATCACGTGGCCCCGGAGCGCGCGGCCCACGGCTCGCGCGCCACGGAGACTCCCCCCTCCCCCGGCTCCCCTGTCTGTCCACGTGTCCATTCCGCATTCCCAGCCTGGGGGCGCGCGCGGCTCCTTAATGAGAGTCAGCCCAGGGCTGGCCTCGCCGTTCAGTTCTCTTCGGCTTTACATTTAAATTTTTTTTTCCTCAGCGGTTCAGGTTGGTGCTGGGATCCGAGTAGAGCCGGCTGGTTGCTGCGACTGCGGTTCTGTGTAGACGCCACCGCAGACGCCGCCGATGTCCCTTTTCAAAGGATGCCAGCTCTCCGCCGGGTGCCGGAGATGTTTTCAGCGGTTCCACCCGAGGCGCGGGTAGGGGGCAGCCTCCCACAGCCTCTGAGTCCGCCTGGGTCTCTGCAGGGCACCCGGTGGGAATCAGCCTTGCTGCCGCGCCCAGCTCCTCTGGTTGGAGCTCCTCGGTCAGGGATGGGCAAGGGGCGCCGCTGGGGGCAGACGAGGGATTTGCCACTGCCTACAGGTTGTTTCGCAAGCCTCAGGAGGGCCTGGGAGGATGTGAGAAACTGTCTCTGTACTCCACCTAGTCATTGGTTGAAGAGGGAGTGATAAGGGGCGGACATTCGTTCCCACCATCACACCTCGTCCATTAGAACGGAACTCAAATCAGACCCGACAGTCAACCGTCAGACGTGGAAATCAATGGCACTGATTTGACAGCGTTATTAGATGTCATGGGGGAAAATCCTGAAAGGTTTGATCTTAATCGGCCCTATTCCGGAGGGGCAGACTCCGTCCCATGAGAGGATGGAACTTGTGTGTCACCCTTCTATACCGGACAGAGTATGGGGCTTTGAGGTCAGAACAAAGGTTGGTGGGCGCCCTGTCCACACCTCGTCTGCCCTTCAGCTGTGATGTAGCTTGGTCGGTTGAATGTTTGCCTAGCATGCCCAGTAAAAAGCTTGTAATCCTAGCACTGGGCAGGTGGGGTCAGGAGGATCAGGAGTCCAAGGCCAGCCTGCGCTACACAGAGTTCAAGGCCAGCCCGAGCTACTACAGGAGATCCCAGCTCAACAAGAAAGGCAGCCTTGACAAGCCTCAGGCTGTTTCCCTTCTGAGCCGCCTTCGGCAAATCATGATTGTCACGACCCCTCCCTTGCCGGTTCCTGTAAGTTACCTTTTCCTCCAGAAAGGGACACTTTGGGGAAAATGGGCTTGAATGGCTATGGGAACCCCTTCCCTCCTAGCCGCTGATTGTTCCTGCTTGGGTTTCATATTAGAACCTGCCTAGCTCTTCTTGCACCTCCCCCATGGCCGGCTGACTGGAACTCAGAGGTCCACTGGGAAGGACTATCAGGCTCATTGGAGGCCCTGGGGACAGACTTTGCTGGGGTGGTCACAGAAGGTAATTCTCATTAGGTCCCTAATGCCTGGTGGCAATTAATGTCACCTAAGGACTTGATAACCATCCCAAGGAGAGGCAAGCCAGCAATCAGCTGCATGTTCCTGCCCCCCTCCGCCCCCCTCCCCGTGTGTGTGTGTGGGGGGGGGGTTGTTGGGGTGAAGAGTACAGATGCACTCCTGAGGTAGGGATGATGCTGTGTAAAGAAGAATATAAGCTGGTCCTTCTGCTCTACCCGCCCTTGCAGTGGGGACCCGGAACTTGGAGGTGGCCAGAGGAAAGAGACACACTTCCCCCAAGATTCTGTCCAGCTGTTCTTCTCCACAGCTTCTGTCTCTGACTCAGGAGTCAAAGAGGCTGAGGGCTCACCCTCCTCTCCTGGCTCTGGCTAGAAATAGCGTAATGTGCTGGGCAGCTTGCTAGCGGCATGGGCTTCATGGGTTTCTCTTTACCTTGACTCAGTTCTCCCTTCTTCCACTCCCAACTTTCACAACAGTACTGTGAATCTCTAACCCGCAGGTGTCATGGGTCTAACCATGAGGCAGGGAGGATCAGCTCTTATTCCCATAGACCTTCTGTTCTGGAAGGAAAGGTGGATGCTAAGCTCGTGAGCCAGGCAGTGGGGTTACCTGGCCATGCTTGCTTTACTCCTGGAGAAGATGCAGGCTATCTCAGGAAGGCTGAGGGGCCTCGCCGTCATTTTTGTATGTGTACATGTGCCTGTGGAAACCAGAGGTCAATGTGAGGTCTCTTCCTCAGTATCTCTCCACCATCACCATCAGCAGTCTCTCACTAAACATGGAGCTCACTGTTGGGGCTACACTGACTGGCCGGAGAGCACCAAGGGTCTATCTCCCTGTCTCTGCCTCAACATGGGGGTTACTAGACTCACTTCACTATATCTGACTCCTACACATTTTTTGTTGACTTGACTCAAGTCCTCATGCTTGGGTTGCAAGTGCTTCACTGACTGAGCCAGCTTGTCAGTCCAGGGGCCTTTCATCCTTACAGAGTGGAGTTCTTTTCTCCAACCCTATTCTTTTCATACCATCTATGGGGTATGGAGCTGCCTGCCAGGTCCCCAAATGCCACATGTCCCTCTTCTCCACCTCAGGAGTAAGGACTGTTCACCCCATCTGGAAACTAGACTACCCAGGGAAACCCAGTTCTACTGCTATCCAGGTGTCCCTAGCCCAGCTTACCTAGAGAGGGGACAGTACCACCCCTTGTCTTCTGGACTATATAACAAGTGCCCTTGGTCTCACCAAGAAGCCTTGGTCATGGGTTCCCAGTGAGCCTTACCACTGGGACAAAGATAGGGAGGACAGGTGGGGTGGAGGCTGGAGAGAGGACTGGCATGCTTGGGAAGGTCTGGCCCAGGATTGTTTTGTCTCCTCCTTGCTTTTCCTTTCTTAGTGCCTTTCTGGATGGAGCTTTGGCCGTGGCTGGGGCTGTCTCTGTCGCCAGCTCCTTCGTGATGCCTAGAACAGATAACAAGGAATAGGGGGAGGGGAGGGAGTGCGCCTCTGCCCCAGCACCCTGTGCACGCGCTCATCAAGACCCAATCCAGAGCCAGCATGGCTTCCTATCTGCCTGAGGAGCCCCTTTGAGTGTGCCCTGGCTTTCAAAATACCCACCGCTAAGAGGGTACAGGCCAGGGTGGGCATTCCCAAGAGGGTATTCCTGGGACCTCCTGGTGCTCCTCTTCAGATTCCCTAAGTTAGCTATCCCTCTTGTTCTTATCGCAAACATCACAGCCTGTTAACTCTGCATTCCATTTCATTGCCTACTTTCATTTCGTGAGTGTATTTGGTATGCACGGGTATTGGGTGCACTTGCCCTCGACCATGCGTCGAGGAAGGAGGGGGAGCCCTACAGGCTGAGTTTAAGCATCTTCTATAGTGCTTCAGTTTTCTTTTTTTTTTTTTTAATTTGGGAAACAGGGTCTCTCGCTGAACCTGGAGCTCACTGTTTCCGCTAGATTGGCTGGCCAACGAGCCCTGTGATCCCCTTGTCTCCATCCTGCCCAGCATTGGGGGCTTACAGCTACACATCACCCCTCTTAGATTTTTGCATGGGGATCTGAACTCAGGTCCTCACACTTGTACAGCCAGCACTTTCGCCACTGAG